GCTTATGTTGTCCTCCGTCGTCATCCACACGAGACGAACCAGTTGTGATGGTATATTCTTGCCAACCATCGCAATGTATGGCTCATCTCTGTTAACAGAATCACTTTCTGCCCCCTCCCCCCTCCCACACAATATTTTATGAAGCGGACAAAAGTTTCAATGGTTTTCCAATTTGTCACTGTAAAAAATATCTACGTTACAAGGTCTGAACTTTTTCGTTTAAAAACAAAATATCTGTGGGAATACGTTTTCGGAAATTCAGTAATCCCTCAAAATAAACGGGTTTGATATATACCTTTAGCATAAACAGAATAAAAGTTGAAAATGATTATATAGAATCTTTTGCACTAACAGTAGTGATATGTACTTAATAGGTATGTTTTCACTCATAAAATGTTTGGAATAAAAAATCCATAGGAAAAATTCAACTTTTTGTTTGTTCGGAGTTAACGAAATCAATAACATTCTTCATTGAAAACAATAATAATTCAGCTGGAATATAAAAATATGCGTGAAGTTCACACTACCTTAATATTTAAAGAGAATTTCGAAATCACGACGATCTGGTTGAATTTCAATAAGAATTAACACAATGACAAAAAATACATTTTTTTCACCTCATGGATTTTGACGAATGAGGTATCAAATGAAAGAGTATTTGATGGATACGTGAAGAACAATAGTCACATCCTCCCAAAATTTCAGAGGAAAAAGGTATGAAATAGAAAAATAATTATTTGCAGATATTTCATAATTTTTTTAAAGGAGAAACAGAGTTGAGATTCGTATTTAGTACCCTACCGAAGAACCCTCAAATATGGATTTTCAAAGCAATCGAAAAATAAAACTTGTTTGCTTTGATTTTTTTTAACAAAAATCACGAAAAATTTTATAACCTTGGAATTTGACGAATGAGATATCACATGAAAAGATATTTGATGGAGAAGAGAAGACAATTAGTCATATCCTCCCGAAAATTCAGTGGAAAACAAAATAATAAAATTGATAAAATTTTGTAAGCAGATTTCTATAGCCTTCAGTTTTTTTTTTTTTTTAATGAAAATCGCTAAACATTTTATAACCATAGATTTTGATGAATGAGGTATCAAATGAAAGGATATTTGATGAAGATTGGAAGGACAATAGTCATATCCTCATAAAATCATGTGGAAATGGAGGTGTACACATGAGAGGTGAATGAATCATAATATCCTAGGATATGTTACTATATAATTATTCCTGAATATAAATGAAAATTTAAATAATAGTTATACATAGGTCTTGATAAAATAGCTTTGTGCCTACTTAGAAGCCTTAGCCTAGCCAGCTAGTCAAATCTTCTTAATCATTTGATTTAATTTTTTATTTTATTCATTCAAGTATCTTGTTTATCAATTTCAATTTTTTTTTTTACTTCAGATTATTGCGGTGGTGAAACAATATTCTCGTCCCTCAACATTTTTATTGGGGAACGATTGACACCTCTCGTCCCTCTGTAGTCTGCGCCTATAGGTAAGTGTAAGTAAAAACAACAGAAATAAATCTTCCACTCATTGACCTTGCGATTTTTTTTCAGCAAAATTTGTGAAAACTTTTTTAAGACATCGAATATGATTTAAATTATACAATTAATGTACTAAAAAATAACTTACCTGTCTCATGGAAGAGTTACATCTCATAATAATGACTAATGTGAAGAAACAATAAAAACCTGCCGAAGCGCTTTGACAGATAAAGTAAAAATCAAATTTATTTCCTGAGAAAAGGAAGTATATGCTATGGATGATAACTTGGATTGCCAAGATGAAGTATACTACAATCTGGAATCCGTAAAGTTTATCAACTGCACGATAGGCCATTACTAAGGAATGGTAACAGTTGACGAAGGAGTACACATCGTCGAGTTTGCTGATCTTCTGCATGAAAAACCTGAGCACTTCATGGAGAGTGACATACTGCCACAGATAAGACAAGATAGGACAAACGCAAATCATCACACAGACGAATGCAAAACCATTAGATAAGTCGCTTAGCAGAAACCAAGTACCTTGAACTATTGTTATAACAGCCATTATTGAAGGTAAAAAGAAGAAAGGAAAGTGATTATGGTGGCGATTCCATTTCAGTGATGCCTTGTCCAGCTCTTTTTCAACTGATGAGATTGATCTCAAAAGTTGTATTAAACATTTATGATTGTAAATCATCCATAATGTAGATAATATGTTGCATAAGGTTGTGAGGGCAGCTTTTGCAGTCCTTATATATGGTATGCTGAAAGTGTGGGCATTCAGTTTAACATTCCAGGAGCAATATACACCTAAAATGTTCAATATGACGCTGAAAACAGCAAGAACAGCCGAGGGCCATATATGAACTTTGTAGCCAGTCGTGAAGGGGAAGGTACCCGTAAAGCGAGGTTTCCTGAAGACTTCCTCTAAGTCGAGTCTTGTCTGCCACCACCAGCACAGTTCCAAAGACACAAAGGAGTTCTCTTTGTTGATATGAGTACTCTGCACTTCTGTCATGCTACGATGTATTTCTATTTGATTATTACGCTATGGACAATAGCAGCGGATTGAAGTTGTAATGGCTACTGCGTTTGATATGTCGAAACATATCCATGGTAATAGCTTCATTAAGTAATTGCACAATCCAATTTGTCAATGAGAGTGCTTGTTTGTTGATTCTAAAGGATGTGACAATGTCGACAAGAAAAAACAAACATTAATTCTATTGGTGAGAAGTTGATTGGGGTGTTCAGTCAACAAAGTAAAGGTAAACAAATTATATTTGTTTTTATTTTTGCCGACATTTTGGCCTAAGATTCAGGGCTAGGAAAAGACAAGATAACATAGATATGAGAAACTGGTAGGCGGTAAAACTAATAATATGAAGCTAAAAGATATATTCTATAACATGTAAGTACAGTAAAGTTAACATTAATCAATATGTGGAAAAGCACTATATGATATATAAATAAAAGAAATATAACATAATACTAACAAAAATGAAAATAGAAAGTAGCAGAAGCAAAGTTAGGATATATAAGATAACAGTAACTAAGTTAGGAACTCATGAAATAAATAATAACGGTAACGGAGTTAAAAACTTATGAAATAAACAATATTAAAATAACAGTAACAACATAATGAAATTATCTCATTGTTGTTACCGTTATTTTATATTTCCTTATATATATATATATATATATATATATATATATATATATATATATATATAAGGAAATATAAAATATATCATATATTTGCCTTTCCACATATTTATTAATGTTAAGTTTACTCTACACATATTACTAGACTATTACTTTTATCATCTACTAGTTTCTCATATTTGTGTTATTATGTCTTATTTTAGCCCTGATGAAGACCTGAATCTTGGATCAAAATTAAAAATATAATTTATTTATTTTTACTGAGTTACTTTTTTGACTTTTGAACACCCCAGCCAACTTCTCTTCAAAATATCTATGACAGTCAATTATTAATCCACTATCATTAACTCGATTATTGATTTTTATTTTCACTAAACCTTTGTTCAATTTTTATATGCCATTTAGAAACATAGGCCTAAAAAGGATTAAGTTAAAATAAACAGAAACTAAAAATTGTAACTAATATTCATTTATTTAACAAATACATTTAAAGAAAAATAGATACAACACTTCCTTTTAAGGTACAAATTTGGGTTGATTATACATTTCTCTTCAGCCAGTGCTATATTATTTCTGTTATTATCATTTTGGTTACTGTACAACGAATCTTCAGCAGATGAACGATGATGAATTGTGTTGAGAAAATGGGTTATACGACTAATTAAGAAAGAATAATAATACATAATAATTATAAAACATAATATGAGCAATTACTCAATTTCTCATCACAGTTCAATATTAATTCAGAGCTGAATGAGAAATACCGAACATACCCAAGGTTTATTTCTATCACAATGTTGAGTTCTCCATTCATATTTCTCTAAAACCTTACCTCCATACACTCTTGAATTACTTAAATAATTAATTATTTTTAATAAAAAAAAGATATATATATATTTATAAATGTAGGTCTGTTTTTATTAATTAGAGAATTAAAGTTGACATCCGACTTGTAAGAATATTGCTCGGTTCATGACTGGCTTACAGAGGCAATAAATGGCATTGTATACAAAAGCTGATATTTGTTTATTTATATCTTATATTCTAATTTCTACAACAATTTATTTCATATATATAATACAAAAAGAAATAAATTCTCAACTTAAAAAAAAAAAAAAATTAACTAATTTGCAACTGCCCAGCCAAAATGAAGACGTAAATCTTAACCTGACCTAAACTATGATACAATGGTACGCGATGAGTTACAAAACAAAACGTTACTTCCACAAATGTGCATATCACATTCTTTTATTAAAGTATCATAAGAAAATATTTGATTAGAAGATTGAGCTAAAACATTAACTAAAGGTGAGCTACACAAGGGTCGGATTAGAAAAAGGAAAAGAAGAAAAATAATTGCTATAGAAAATGGTAATCTATAATCGTGAAGGCCAATGAGTTCAGAGTGATACTATCGACATTTAAAAAAAAAAAAAAAATCTATATAAAATATTAAATACTTTTAAAGTCAATCATTTAAAAAATGGACAAATTTATCAAACAATTCTCGTCCCGACACATTATTTTATCAAGCAGAGAAATATAGCAAGTATCACAATAAATTTACAGGCCGTCACAACAGAATTCGTGATGATCTAACCCTCAATGACCCTGTAAATATCACCTCCTTCATCAGTAAAATCTCCTTAAATAAATACACCACATTGTTATGACACTTTACATTATTTACAAGAAGCCGAGAGGTCTGGCTTCATAAAAAAATATTTATATATATATATATAAAAAGAAAAAAAAAAGAAATAAGAGAGATAAAGAAAGTAAGGACTATGGCTTGAATTATTTAGGAGGCGCGAGGCCTAAGAAGAGACTAGTTTAACCCCGCTTGAACTTGAGTACAAGGAGCGATATCGTGAGGAAGGCGACAATCCATATGATGGTCGAGATGAAGCCGAGGTAGACGTCTGTCTCGAGGAGATTCCAGCCCCTGGTGAGCATCGACCGCAACGATGTGGTAGCCATCGTCAATGGCAGGCAGGCCGAGATATACCTCAGCACAATTGGCATTCCCTCCACCGGCCAGATCACACCTGGAACAAATCCCATCCAACACAAACGTACATTAATATTGGAAGGTCAAGATCACTTCGAGCATACTGTTAATAGAATCTCGAGGAATAACAAAAGGAGTCCAGTATTGAACAAATGAAAGATGTGTTTTAACAGCATGGTGAGAAAGTTATTTACAGTGGAAAAACCAAAAATAATCCTTTTTTAAATTAAAAACACACTCAATTATAGAAAATACATAAAATTATTAATTAAATAATGTAGGATAGAGAAAAATGCTTTTAAAATATTGGGTTGGCAAATAAGTCCTTTCTTTTTTTCTGTTTATTTTTATGTCACTGTGTTACACGTCTTATCTGATAAATTAATGCCTAAGGTGGATTGTTTATCCTGTTTGTAATATGTCAACAACTATATCTTTTAACTTTTGTTTAAACTAGCTTAGTATCGTGTTTGCTATTGCACTGTGAATATGGAAGAAAATATCATTCATTATCGGCACATTTGATCGTATTATTTTAAAAAAATATAAGCGCAGAAGCTCATAAAAATAATTGCAGTGTTTATGGGGATGATGTCTTAACCGAACCCTCCTGTCAAAATTGGTTTGCCGAATTTCATTCAGGAAATTTTGACATCAATGATGCTCAACGGTCTCGTCGCCCACATGGAATTGGAATGAGTAATGTTAAGGCCATTGTTGATCAAAATCCCACCAATTCAGCCCCACCCAATATGGTCCTAAATGTGTCGCACACAAGTGTACAAAACCATTTAAACAAGTTCGGTTATGTTTCTAGGCTTTATGTTAGGGTCCCTCACTCTCTAACCGAAGTCAAGTTGGCAACACACATTTCTGTTTGTGATTCACTACGGAAACGGCAACAAAACGACTCATTTTTGAAAAGGTTGGTAACAGGAGATGAAAAATAAATATTTTACGATAATCTTGGGGATCTAGTAGTGAGGCTCCTAGAAGAATGTCAAAACCCGGGATTGCATCCAAAGAAGATAATGCTTTCCATATGGTGGGATTTCAAGGGTGTTATTTTCTATGAGCTATTGCCATCAGGCAAAAAAACAATTGATTCAATTCTATAGTGCTCTCAATTAACAAAATTGAATCAATCAATTAAAAATAAATGCCCAGAATTGGCAAATCGGAAGGGTGTTGTGTTCCACCAAGACAACGCAAGGCCCCACATCTCATTGGTCACTAAATATTCAGCCCTGGATGGGACCTGTTGCCCCACCCTCCCTATTCACCAGACCTAGCTCCGAGTGACTACCACTTATTCCGGTCTCTGCAGAACTCCATGAATGAAAATCAATTCCAAAAGGAAGAGGGCATCAAAAACCATTTCGATCAGTTTTTTAACAATACACTCCAGACATTCTATGAACATGATATTATGCAGTTACTGGAAAGATGAGAAAAATTCATACTAAATAATGGTCAATATATTGTACATTAAAATAAATTTGATGTCAATAATACATTGTTTATTTCACCCTGAAAAACCGAAAAGACTTATTTGCCAATCCAATATAAATTTAATTTTTATTGCAGCAAAGTTTCAATTAAATTACTATTATTTATTCCTAGTGTTGTAATTATAGGATTTGCTTAATAATCCAGAGAGAATACAGCGGGTTCTATTTTTCCTTTTATAATACACTATGAGGCAGTCGTGTGTCATGATTATATTCCATAACCTGAGCAATATTATCCCCTTTAGGATTTAAAATTTGTGGCGGAGTGGCCGAACAAGCTGCAGAATATGTTTTGCCCAGCAAACTGATAAATCAAAGATTACAAGTTCGAATCCTGGTGGCAAAAGGATTTTAACTCTGGTATTAATCTTCCACTCTCTTCTCTAATCTAAGAAATTCCCATCTAGCCGAAAAGTCAAGGAAGGGAAGAAAAAGAAAATAAAAATTTTTTTTTAAATCAAATATCTGTCACTGGCAAATAATTATGATTTATTTTTGCTTTCTCATTATTGAAGATATGGGACCTTTGGTTATTCTTGAAAACGTTGAAGAAATGTTTACTTCAGAATCTGAAATTTCCACTCCAGTTGTATGATTTGATATTAAGGTACAATTAGATTCAGTGGCTGTCAGTCTGTCTGTACTGAAATCCATATGACAGACACAATAACAACTAAAGTTTGATTTTGATAAAATTTTCAGGTATTGCTTGTGTCAGTATCAAATGCCATCCATCGCTTACAAATTTGCTACACTGTTTTCCTTAACACACTTATGTTTAAAAAACAGAATCCTGATCAAAGTCATCAAAAGTGAGATGAAAGAAAAAAAACTATTTACTATTATGCAACTTTCTGTAACCCATTCACTATATATAATTTTAATTGTATTTGAAAAACTATATTTACCGCTGAGAAGTAATGTCGGGTAAAAACTGCCCAAAGCAAGCTGTATTGCGTTTCTTTCCAATTCACACACTGCTGATATAACAAAACCTGAAATTATAACAACACAAAAATGAATATTGTAACTTGTGAATCTCTTTGATTATATTTACATTTACATATTTATAACAGTACGGATAACAATTATTATATCAACAATATCTAACCAAAAATAAATTATAGATACAACAAAACTCCCTATTACACAATTTTTTTTCCTGATACAAAACCAAGAGTACTTATTGTTATATTGATTATTAATATTAATAAGAGTATAAGTTGTTAAAAATAGATTAATAGAGTATAAAGATTTACAATTGTGAGACTTATTTATATGATATATGATTGAAGGATTCCTAAAGTTAATATATAAGATTTTAAATCAAACCTGTATATCGAACATGAATAAAGGTTGTATGAAAAATTTTCATTATATAAAATTATTGCAATTTTTCATTCTTCTCATATTAAAAATAATTACAATTATATTTTATGGATAAAGCAGTACACATTTTCTTTCATTTTTTATGGTATTGAAATATTCCAATACAGCTTCATCGATTTTATCACAAGGATTTGAATAATTTACAAACTCTACCAATTTAATATCAATAAATCATGGTTTTTTAAACAAATTGAACTGTATTTGTCCAAAATTCATATTTGTTTGCCTTCATTCTTCTTTTTTCAGGAAAAGAAGTTATTTTCCATACAATGCAATAGAAAATTGAAAAAAATAAAAATAAAAATTTAAGGTTCCTAAAGAGGCGCACAGACGTTACTATATACCTATCAGGTAAACTTTCACAGGTAAACCAGAAAGGTATAGCTGTGCAGGCTAAAATACACACATGCTAGTGTAAACGAAGGATTTTAACAGATGGAAAGCAAACAAGATGACGATGCGAACGCTTTAGTCGACTAAAAACTATACAGGTGTGCTGGAGTGACTCGCACACATGTTCACGTCTACACGCCTCTGCAGGTAGAAAATACTAAATTTGGATCTCCCGTCACCTGCACAGGTTGCTACAGTTTGTACAGTTTGCTTTCCAGTTTACTTGTACATGTGACTGGTATACAGGTCGCCTGTATAGGTAAACCTCACCGGTATCCTAGAACGTGTGTGCCCAGCATAAAGAAAGTACATTACATAGAAATTTTTAATATATGAATTTTTATTAATTGATTGTTGGCCAACAGCCACTGATAATTTTTTTAAAATTTTTTATTTCTCTTATTGTTGATGTTTCAGCTTCTTGAGCCATTTTCAAGTATCTATCATGCACCATTTTAAATTTTGTTTTTATATATCATTTTTATACGATTCGTCTAAGTGATCCATTCCTTGTTTCAGGCAATTTTGTTGTGATTTCTGGTTGGTGATATTAAGGATATAATGAATTAAGTAAAAAATAATAAAATGGCACCATACGTAAAAAAGAAGAGTAGAAAATCAATATATGACGTTCAATGCATAGAGGTTTGTATATAACGATCAAATATTTTTTCATCTCCAGATATTCTATCAATTATAATCTCCATTTTCTTTATATATATATATATATATATATATATATATATATATATATATATATATATATATATATATATATATATATATATATAGTTTAATAATAATTGTTATTAAATTAAATTTAATGAAGAAAACGATTGTAAAAATTTTTTAAAAATAATGTGTAACATGAATAAATTCAAATTAAAAAAAAAAAAAAAAAATATATATATATATATATATATATATATATATATATATATATATATTTTTTTTTTTTTTTTTTTTTAATTTGAATTTATTCATGTTACACATTATTTTTAAAAAATTTTTACAATCGTTTTCTTCATTAAATTTAATTTAATAACAATTATTATTAAACTATATTGAAATATTGTATAATAGGGAGTCTTACTACTACAGAAAAAAAATGCTAAAATAAAATATCTTTTCTTAAAAAAATATAATAAAACAAATAAATATTATGTACCTTGTAAGTTGATTAACTTTAAGAAATAAAAAAGACAATAGTAAATTACCTTTTCGTAGAAACAAAATATGTATTCATAACTTTTGTTGATGGGTCTGTTGTGGTATTAGCACACGAGTCAATGTCTGTCAGTCTGTAGTGCAACAGAATACTTCCGGGACGTTATAATTATTTTTTAAAAAATCATCATATTAAACATTTATAAATATATTATAATTTTTAATTAGTTGTTCTTATTATATTAAAAATTATTTTATAGCATAAATAAATGAAATAAAAGAAAAATTAGATAGATCTGCCTTACCGAAACACATCCCACAGAGACCTTGAAGAATCGTGAGGCATATAACCAAGAAAATGTCCCCTTTGCATTCGACCCCGAACACGAGGATCATGAATATAAGAACAAGTGCGGTCTGCCCGCACATGACGACGAACTGGCATATCACGTGAGAGAACAATATTTCATGCGGGAGAACACCTGCGACCCAACTTCTATCCAAAAGTCCTTCCATCCTCTCGATGATAAGAGCAGACGAGGTTAATGCGACAGCCAAGAAAAATACAATTCTGTAATATAATATTTTTTTTTTTATTACAGGTAAAAAAACAACTAAAATAAAATAAAAAAATCTCATAACTCTGCCAACTTACGTAAGAATTACACCAGGTGCAACAAAGTCTGTAAAGCTAGGTTCATTACTTCCATAAATTGGTTCCTTGAACTAAAACAAAAAACAATTTGTTATATTAATCATTTTAACATTCAACTTTTTTTTTGCACTTTAAAATAATTTGTAAGGTAAACTTTAAAATTATTATAATAAAAAATGGGAGTGGAGCATCTCAGTGAGTAAGATACTGAATTACAACGATCAAAATCCTAGATCTGAGACTGGCTGTGGTAGGTAATTAGTTATTCTATTACATCAGCCGTAGATCAACCCTGGGATCAAGGCACATCCAGCCTCTTTAAAATGGGTGTCCTTAATTGGTTAATTAATTAAGGAGGAAAACCTGGTACTTGAGTATGATCTTGGCCTAATCACGTCCCTGTAACTACAGTACTAAATATCGAACCCAAGAACTTTCATGGGCTCTAGTGGTACAGGTTTTGTTTTGCCTTTTTATCTTCTCTCTCAAGAAATATTCTTGGTTAATCAAATAATAAAGCTCCCATTGAATAAATTGATTTTAATTAAATCTTCCCTCCTTTCCACTATTTTTTTATCTATGAAATGTTTATTGATGTCCAGTTATTTATCTTAATAATTTGAACATCTAATAATCCACTTTTATTAAATAAATGGATATTTATTTTTTCTTTATTATTATTTATATGATATTTACAACTGCATAAAAAAAATAAATCTAGTAAATTTGTACATGGATATAATGACATTAACCCACGTTGAAAAACTACCCATTGGTAGCACTCTAATAATATGTCTATATTAGGAGAACACAGGGCCATCTTCTTTTCAGACGCCTCAAAGGGTTATCAGGAATTGAATAGGAAGCAAGGTTAGAAACAAGAGGATTGGGATGGTTATGAAGTTTATTATGGAAGGATAGATATCTGGATTGGGACAAATCTGATACACAAGGAACATTAAGGTCATTATGGATGATTTTATTTGTAACAAAGTAAGGAGCATTGAGGATTTTATGAAGGATTTTGGATTGCAATGATTGGATAAGAGAGGAATTTGAAGGTTTGGTGAAGCCCCATAGCTCAACTCCGTCATGTATATGAGTCTTTTGTAATTAATTGGCAGGGATTCCAAGTTAGACGTTTGTCCAGGTGGAGTCCTAGGTAACAGATTTGTTCAACAAGAATAAGTGAGGTGATGTTAAAGGATACAGAAGGACAGGAAGTCGTTAGTTTACGACAAAATAAATGGATATAAATTTAAATAACTAAAATAAATTAGAGAAACCAACCCCAGTAATTGTTTATAATATATTTTGTCTCATTTAAAAATTAGTAATTTATGAAAATATCAAGACAAGATGAATAAAGTTATCTATTTTATTTTCTAAGACATTAAATCTATTTAATTTTTAAAATAAATAAATGTACCTGAATTGGTATGTCCGCTAGTTTTGGATTATTTCCACACGCTGTTAGCAGTTTTTGGGCAAAGTTTTTATACGCAACTTGTAAATCTCTGTTCAACATTAAGCCAATCTGTTGATCTGAAATAATTGTTTTTTTATTATATTTTATGGTAGATTTATTTGATCATATTTTTTAAAGGGTTCTTCACTATTATATGAAAAATAATAATATTTGCAAAATCCCTTTACATATTCAATCAATATAGTTGAAAGGAATTATTTATTTATTAGGGATCATAATATAGAATATTCTTATTAACTAAAATTATGTTTCTTGAAAAAAATGTCAAAAATAGCTGACAAAGGACCATTTTATTATTTACTGAATCATTTGCAAATAAATAAAGTTAGTCATCAATTTTTAAGATGAAACAAATTACAATGATAAAATATTTATATATATCTATTCTTGAAAGATTTATAATTTATTATATCGTCGGTTATTAAAAGTCATCAAGTGACATTCCATAACCTTAAATCACTAAGAATTTTGATAAATTCTTAGCGGACTAATACTCAATAATGAATTTTGCAATAACCGACGATATAAAGTATTTTGTTAACTTTTCTTTCTTTAATAATTTATTTCCTTAATTTTGTTCCTTCAGAGAATGCACTGCATTTTCAAATTTTGGAGCACTCTTTTCTCACCTTAAGGAATTCATCTAGTTGTTGAAAGTGAATAGGATGAACAAAAGATATAGGAATTATTTTATAAATACAAAGATTATAATGTGATAATGAAACAGTCCATTTATAACAATGCTTTCTTTTAAATTTTATAATAGGACAAAATATGGACATGAGAAAAATCCATATATCACTATTTTTAAGATATATAAGTGAAAATATCCATGTGCAAGATGAACAAATCATCTAATTAAAGAAGAAAAAGTTTTAAAAATATATAATGCAATAATTCTTTTCAATTTTTTCTTGAATTATTTTTACAATAAAAATTTAAATTATATTTTAACCTTATTGGAATATTTTATTTCAATAAATCAATAAACTAAAAATAAAATAAAAATAATATTCATGTCAACACAACATCCAGACAGATAAAGACAACACAACATCCAGAGAGATAAAATAAAAATAATATTCATGTCAACACAACATCCAGACAGATAAAGCCATCCATAATAAGACGGGACAGTGCATTACTTACTTGACATATCCAGCCATACTCTCATTTCACTCTGGTCAAGAATTTCGTCATCAGAATCCCTGCCGAGTGCCATCCTAGCCACGAGTGCGTCCGTGAAGTTGTCGGTGAAGTATATCGCTCCCCAAGCATCGCCTACTTTAACTGCATTTATCGCACTCTCGGGGGTCTCATAATATTCCTAAGCAAATGTGAAAAGTGCAATAGTGATCGTGCAAAAAGAAAGCCATGTTACAAATTTTGACATTATTTGTTTTTAAAAAAAAATGTGCAAAATTGGGAAAACCAATAAATAAAATTTTCATGAAAAGTAATAAAAAATAATATTCATAAATTAACAATAGCTTACACACACAAAAAATAACAATAATAATAGAAAAAACCTATAAGAAAAATAAATTATTATTTTAATTAATTTGTAAATCAATACTAATACTATCTTTTTAATTGCAGGAATTTTCGTTTTTAATGCGATACATCACCAATCTTAAAAAAAAATAAATAAAACAGAATCATGATAGCAAACTGACAAAACCAACAGATATTTTACTTCAACTTTCCTATATTTGAAATATATAGTATATGGAAGTATTACTATCTTGAAAACGTCTTTAACTATTTTCACTAAAGTCATTATATCAATGTACAATATAATGGTCTAATTAATATAACCTGAAAGGATTTAAATTTTCAATATGGGGCTTCCTCTAAAATAAATTTAATTTTGTTTGTTTGAAATAATTAGCCATCTCTCATTATTAGGAGTAATGATGGGAGATGGAAGTCAAGCCAAATGATCCAATATTTATGTAGGCCACCTTTTTTCTGGACTGTGAATCAAATTATTTTATAATTAAAATGGAAAGCAAATGAGGAGCGGGATGTGCCAGGGGGCTAACGCGTGTGCACAAGTCCGCGCGTTTCCCTGCAACCTTATGACCAAGATACGGAAAAAATAATTATGAGTTCACGTCCCGGTTTCTTTTAACTCTGGCCCCCTCACCACCTGTCCCTGGTAAATCCCTGTGGAGCCTAAAAGGCAAAAAGAGGATAAAATAAATTGAAAAAAAAAGTGGAAAGCAAATGGATATTCATGAGTTTTTAATAGCTTATTAAATTTTAATTTTTAAATTAAATTAAGAAATTTTACCAATCTTTAGGATGAAAACGCCCCATTTTCGTTAATAAAAATGTAGGTTACGATAAAATGAAATCATTTAAGAAATTTTATATAAGTGTTAATAATAACTATAACATAGATGTATGATATGCCACTGAAAAGCTAAATAATTTAGAATTAATTTACCACTTTTAACATAAGTAGCTCTTTGGCTAAGTTTTTTTGTGTAATTAAAGATCATACATAGCCAGGATAATTACAGTCATTAGTACCCCATTGTTGGGCTTATACCATTATTGGGAGTTATCTAAAGTCATTATGGAGTATCCCGCACTCCAGAGTGTCAGAATGAGTTGACTTTTTTAAGTGTGTCGTTCTAGGTGTAAACCATGGTAGTAAGTGAAAGTTGTGTGATGCTTGCACAGCACCAGATTTTTTTTTTATCGACACTAAAAATCCTTAAGAGATTTTTAACTGTTAACAGTACAGTCACATAACTCTGCTTAAAGACAGGTTGTATGGTGTCGGCTAGGGTTAATAAGCAAGCCTCTAAGTAATTAAGAATTAAATTGAAATATTTCATGATATATTTGTTATTATTAAAAAACAAATTAAATATCACATATCAATTGAAAAAGAAAAGAAAAATAAATCAGGCAAAGTAAAGCATTTCACAAAACAATGCAAAACATCAATAACTTAAAAATACAATATCTATAAAGACAGGACGACTTTTCATTGCTAAGACAGAATAAACAAGCCATAATGTGACGACGACACAACTTGTGATAACTTTTGGGTTTGAAACTCACTTGACATATCCATCCATAATTTTACTTCTGATAATTCGAGAGTTTCAGGATCGGCATCTATACCGAGCACGACCCTAGCGGTCAGCTCTCTCGAGAAATTCTTATTAAGATATAATACAGCCCATGCATCACCATTTCTTACTGCTTCCAACCCATCATCGACAGATCGATAATAATCCTAAGAATGTTCTCTAATTTAATAACGTTCATTAATATCCGTTTAGCTAATCTTTTATTAAGTGGTGTACTATAATACTACAAACTCTGTGCGTTTTTACCTTATATAAAAAAGAATTGAAGGAAGGATGGAATGAAGAAAGTATGGGTTGTCCTAATTTTTAACCACCTTCTGTAATCTCTTTGGAAGCTAAAAATTTGGCATTAGGACTACTTTCTAGGGCGTACGATATATAAACATTTGGATAAATTTTATCAAACTTTCAACATGTCCAAGAGACTTCTTCATTTCTATCTGTTTTTAATTTTTTTTTTTTTAACCTTTAGAACCCCTCCAACTGAAATTACAGTTCATATTATATATTTTTCAACTATTCAGAAGTCTGTTCAAATGTGCTCAGATATCTATATATATATATGTAATTTAAAAAAAAAAAAAAATCTACTAAAAAACTAGAAACAATTTAAGATCAGAAGAGGGTGAAATGGGGGATCAAAAACAATGTGCGATGATTATTTAAGGTAATAATCTAGCAGCACTAGTTCGAATCCTGCCTGAGCAAGTTCAAATTTATTCTGAGGCAGAATAAATCTTGAACTTCCCAGTTTAATTAGAATAGCTTGATTATATATTTAGAAAAGAACCAATATAATGAATTTTTGTTCCTACATCATGAAAATATATGTCAAATTTTGAGAGGAGAAGGGGCATTTTTTTTCTTCTTGATTGAATACAAAGGTTCATGAAAAAAATAAAATAAAATTAGTAAATACAGTTGTTTTTAGTAGTAAATACAGTAAATGATTTGTTTCTAAAATACAGTTGAAGTTGAAAAGTGAAAAACGCACAGATTTTTTTTTTTTCACCACAATGATATACTGATCATTTAAATAATTAGGGTATAATTTTATATGTTTAGTCACTTTAAAAATCATTAAATAAAAGGTGAAAAATAATTTTTAATAAATAAAGTATTGTTATAAACCAGAAATATCTGGTGGTTGGTTTTCTTGGAAGTTTTCAGCAAGGTATATTATTGAAATAATAATTGATGTTAACAAATTATTAATAACTGTAATTTTTTGCAATTATTGTTATCACTAATTCAATATATTACCATTTAGGTATTATAAGTTGAGATATATAACTCTCTCCAGATTATACAACTGTGAAACTTTATATTATATTTTTAAACATAAAAATTAAATTAAAAAAAATATATATATAATACTTACTTTTATAATAGTATCATTCCGCAAAGCGTTAATGTATCGACATGACAAATACTGGAAAGTACAATTATTGTAGACGGGACAATTTCTGGAACTCCAGTCCATTTCCTGGTTGACAATGGCGAGGTGAAGGCCTGTTGGATCTCGACCAATAGCGAGGCAGAACAGTATGACTTGCATTACCGGTAAAGCGAATATAAACAGCATCACTCTAAAACATAAAACAATTCTTCATACTGCATCATATTTACCACATTTGCTTGAATCTAGGTTGAACCTAAATTTAAATTTATCGTCCATTTTAAAAAAGATAATTGAGGAAAATATTTTGAGAGAATTAAAATTAAATTATAAATAAATTAATATCTAAATGTAATGGACGTGATAATCCTGCAATGTATCACCCTAAAACCTCTATCTTTTTTTTTTTTTTTTTTTTATTGAGTATTATAACAATCTGTCTGTTGGACATTGGTTATAGTGAGGTAGGATGACATTCACACCATATGTACAAAAAAATAAAATAAATAGAACAAAATAATAATCAAAAGTATATACAATAGACAATAAATAACCTAACCTAAATAAAATAACCTAAAAAATAAGAAAATTAAAACTAAGAAAAAAAAACAAAAAAAAAACACATGCATAAAAAACCTCTATCTAAATGTAATAAACATACTTTTATCTAAAAAATAATTAAACTACCCTGTTCAATTTTTTCGATCAGTTTCTGAGTTTTGATTTAATTTGGTTAAATATTTCTTCTCAGTAATTCCACATAACTACAGTGTCTGTTTTATGTAAAGTTCGTATTAGTTCTAAATTATTAGATTAAATAGACCATTTGTCTTGAACATAATTATTATTTTATTTTATTTCTCCAAAATGTTTGAATAAGTTATTACTTATTATTGTTTATAATAAACTGTATTAAGTCTCTCAGTAAAAAAGTACAAATGAATATAAAACAAATAAGCAATTTAAAATCCCCAAGTATGGCCAAATTAAAATTTTCCTACACCAAATCTGAGTACAAGTCAACTGCAGAACAAACTCTCATTTTTTGAGAGAAAATTTCAGAAAAATACCTTGACCTTTAATTGAGAATACAGTAATTATTATTTTGTAGGTAGAGAACTTCGATTTAACTGAATTAAATAAATGAATTATTTTATTTTATTTTTTTAACGAAATCAAAGAATAAATCGGTAATCACCCAACATTTCTCCACATTCTCAAGAAATTCTTCTGAAGAAGTGCCTTTGTTTTTCCCTTGGTTGTAAGATTACAGCACTCGGAGCACTCGTCACATTGTACGCTGTCGTCTTTTGAACCCTGCGCCACTGCTACTCCATTCATTCTCTAAAAACAATTCGTAAGAATTTAAATTTAAAATAATATACATAAATGGTTATTGACTTCTTTTAGGAATATAATTTATAATATTTAAAGAAATGATATAAGATATCTCAAGAGATGTTCCATAACATAAGATTTTTTCAAAACTTACTGTGACTTATTAATGCTATGAATACGTAAAAGTTATCGGCAGTTGACTCTAAAGAAACTCAATGTATTATAGAGATAAAATTTATTTTAATCTAAAATATATTGACCATTATTTAATATGACTTTTTCCCATCTCTCCACTGCATAATGCCATGTTAATAGAATGTCTGGAATTTATTGTTAAAAAACCGATCCAAGTGGTTTGTGATGTCCTCTTTCTTTTGGAATTTCTTTCCATTCATGGAGTTCTGCAGGGACCGGAAAAAGTGGTAGTCACTTGGAGCTATGTCTGGTGAATAGGGAGGGTGGGACAAAAGGTCCCATCCAAGGATCAATAATTTATTGACCTATGAGGTGTGGGATCTAGCATTGTCTTGGAGGAACACAACATCATTCGAATTTGCCATTTTTGGACGTTTATTTTTAATTGATTGATCCAATTTTGTTAATTGTGAGCAGTATAGAATTGAATCAGCTGTTTGTCCTGATGGCAATAGCTCATAGAATAACACCCTTGAATCCCGCCATATGGAAAGCATTATCTTCTTTCGATGCAATCCGGGTTTTGACATTCTTCATATTCACAGTGCAACAGCAAACACAATACGAAACTAGTTTCAACAAGAGTTAACAGATATAGTTGTTGACATATTACAAACAGGATAAACAATCCACCTAAGGAATTAAATCATCAGATAAGAAGTGTATCATAGTGGCATAAAAATAAACAGAAAAACCGAAATGGCTTATTTGCCAACCCAATATTTAAAGAAATTATACAAAATAGCTCAAGAGATGTTAACATATGAATTTTTCAAAACTTACTGTTACTTAATAATGCTATGAATATTAAAAGTTATCAACGATTGACTCTAAAGAATTTCTAGAGTATAATATAATCATGAACTATAATTATTTTGTACATATAATAGTTTGAACAAATAATAAAAATATCCTTACATCATAATGCCCGTTAGTGTTGTCTTGAATCAGTATCTCCTTGCTTTGGTGAAAATTTAAGCCGACGACTCCACTTTCCTCGGTTACGTACACAGGTTCTTCTTTCTTACCCCAATGGAGCGTTGCCTAGGAAATATAAATAACAAACTCATCAGTATATTTATTGCAGTGTTTTTTCATTGCTAATATTTATAAAATTATAGAGCTGGTTAGATAAATTGTATATAATAATGTCCTTAACATAGCGTAACATAAATAATTGTTAGTTTAATGTGTTTTGTAATTTATAACATATCGTCAGATTTTTAGTTTCTTAATTCATTAAGTACATTTTTGTACATAATGACGTTATTTATTCATGACAAAAAAAGAGAAAATACATCAAAATTACTCAAACCCCTTTTATACAGAGTGTTTCAGGGTTAAGTAGCCAAACTAAAAATATGAATTAAGGACCTCAAAACAAGAAAAATAAATTCCTATGAAAGTATGTCTGCAAACGCTTTGTTTAGGAGATATTCACACCTAAAGATTTTCATCGTTATGAATTATTTACATTATATTAAGTAAATAAAACTTATTTATATGTTCCAACTACTTTATTAATTAAGCGTAAACATTAAATTCAAATTAAATGTTGTTCAAAGTGATTTCCTTGAGCATTAAGACAGGCTCGGCATCTTTCCAACAGCAGCAGTGGCAGAACAGCACTGGCTATGTGTTATTGTTATGAGTACTCTGCGAAAGCCCCTTAGAAACTGATAAATGTTATTGATGTGTTGATGTATTCAACCTGTTATGTTATTGAGAGTTCCGAATGCTAATTCAAAATAGTATTAATCCTTATGTTGCCAATAGTTTTTATACAGTTAATGATGAAAGGCCATATTAGTATTCTATCTAATCCATTTAATATGAATGTTAATATTTGCATTTAATTAATAAAGTAGTTAGAACAAATTAATAGGTTTTATTTATTTCATATAATGTGAATAATTCATCAGAACGAAAATCTTTAGGTGTGAATATCTCCTAAGCAAAGCATATGCGGATATACCTTCAGAGGAAATTTTTTTCGTGTTTTGAAGTTCTTAGTTCATTTTCGCAGTTTGGCCACAAAATACCCTGTATATCAAAAATAGTTACAGAAAACGCACAATTTTCTAATTTTACAGATTTTTTTTTTATATTATTGCATTATATATAAATAATATTACTTAGCTAATTATATTTTAATCTGTATTGTTTAAATAATGTATAATTATAGCATCATATTTATCATCAGTGTTTCAACTTATATACCATCGACTTATTTTAAAATGTCATTAAATGATATTTCATAACTTTAAATCACTAATAATTTTGATCAATTTTCCCTTGTAAAATTAGAAAATTGTTTGCTTATTGTAATTATATTTTATTTATAAAAAGGGTTTATGTAATTTTAGTGTACTCATTGTATTTTTTTAAAACAATAAATAAGGTCGAAATTCACAAGAACTTTCTAAAAGTTCAGCTTCGTCAAAAATAAACTTAGTGGCTTATTGAAATATAGTGAGTATTGTAATATTTGAATTTAATTTTAAAATATAACTGAATATTAATATTTTAAAAAGAGTATTCTTTTTTTTTTTTTTTAGTAAATAAATGCTGTTGTTGAAAATTATAGAGTTTTCTGTATTATTGTCAATTTCAGCTTTTCTAATGATATTATTTATCTTTTGTGCCATATTATTATTTATTATTTAAATGATTGTTGGCCAAAGATCAACAACATTATTTTTCTTTAAGGACCATTTTCGAGTACGAAATATCCCACATCTTTACTACACTCACCTCATTTTAAACGAAAATTGTCCGAGCATATTTTTAGGCACAATTATTGCTTTATGGGATTTTTGAGTCCTCTTGTCTGTTTCATTTGGCTCTTTACAGGCGATTGTTTAAAATAGAGACAAATCTAGTGGAAGATACATGATGAAATGATATTAAAGAAAAAGGATGTTGATAATCTTGAACAAAAATCATTTTAATAATAAATAAATAAAAAGTTATTTTTAGCCTTTTATTTTTACTTATTAATATTTATATATTATTACAAAAAAAAAAATTATAAAAAGTGTAAGAAATGATAATGATTATTATATACAGATTCTATTTGTATACAGCCCTTCTATAAAAATAAATAATGATTAAATAAATTAAAATACAACTATTAATAAACCTCCCACTAATAGAATGTATATTATTTTAACACTTTAAATCATTTAACAACTAGTTAATATTTTAAAATAATACAAATATTTAAAAATATGCAGTCGTAAAAAGTTGCTTAACACAACCGGTCAATAATATAAGCTGACCTTCACGTTAGCTTACCAGCGAGATGTTGTTCGTTAAATTTGCATCTTGGGGAGAATTTTCCTGTCCCTGCTTTCGACTCAATTTTAAAAATACCTCCTCGAGGCTTTGGCAGTTGTACATGGAAAGAAGAACTTGAGGAGATTCTTCTGCCAGCAACCTGCCGCTCCTCATCAACCCAATCTAGAAAAAAAAATTCATTATTCATGAAATAAATAAATATAAAATTTGTATGTATTATATTTAATAGTATGTTTTTATGATTATTGTTGCTTTGAAATCATCAAGATCAATGTACAATTACTAATGTTTGTCCAGTGGCCGAAATTCGGCCATAATAATTATTGAAAAATTCTGGAAAAATTATATGAATTTGCATCTTTCCAATATTTTTTACTACATTGCTCATTGAATATCTGACAACATGCATTTTTATATGTAATTAAAATACAGAACATTTTCGTATGATTTGCGTAATTTATTCGCAAATAAAATTCTGAATCTATTGTTACTTTTTTTTCATTCTCTTTTCGGGAAAGTATGTTATATACACAAATTAAAATGACTTTAAGGAGAAGACTTTGGCTATGTTTCATTTCTATATATACTGATATAATATGGAAATTGTACTTTTAATAAAATAATAAGTTTGGGCAAATGTCGAATGATTGAGATAATAAACTTACGGTATGAGCTTGCCTTGCTTCTTCAATATAGTGAGTTGTGATAATTACGGTCTTGTTGCCATCTTTAGTAATTTGTACGAGATGGTTCCAAATACTGAAAACAAAATCAATGATTATAATTCAAATGATGCTTTTGAAATAAATATATATTGTAATGTACACCTTCATTGAAAGTGAGTAAAAAGGGTTTAATAAATTAATATTGAACAATTAAAAGGCAAGCTAATGTAGTTCTACTAGTGCAAAATTGTAAATTACAGCCATGCCTTATGAAAAAAATATTTAAAAATGATCTTTAAAAGTATTGCTACTCATGTAATTGCATTTAATAGGACTTCAAGCATCAATATTACACAATTTCATATAGTTTCTTTTTTTTTCTTCCAAAGTAATTACTTAAACATTAAGTAATTTATTTACTTTACTAACCTTTGTCGTAGAAGTGGGTCAACTCCGACAGTGGGCTCGTCCAAAATTAGGAGCTCTGGGTCGTGCATCAGAGCGACGGCAAAGGATACCCTCCTCTGTTGGCCACCGCTGAAAATATAAACAATTATATTCATTTTATAATTAAGGAAAGGTAAAGGAATAAATTAAAATATTAAATTGAGGGCACTTAAAAAAAAGTTAAATAGTTTTGAAAAAATTTAAAAAAAAAAAAAACTGTGCCACTACAATCCATGAAGGGTTTTGGGTTCAGTACTTTATTACTGTAATAGGAAGTACGGTTTCAAGGCTAACGGTAGAGCAGGGAGGTGATTGGGCCAGGATCATGCTCATTCACCATGTTTTCTCCCATAATTAAGTAATTAATTATGAGTACTAACTAACGAGGATCTCTCAACCCTGGGCCTGATCCATAGCTGATGAAAAACTACTTGGCATCAGCCAGAGTTGAACTTAGTAGCCCAGTACCTAACTCACTGAGCTACTCTGCTGCCGTTTTAAAGAAAAAAAAAATTATAAAAATATATAATCACCTGAGGTTTTTAACCAAACGGCTTTGACTTGGCAAATCCAGAAAATTGAGAAGAAATTGTAGGCGATCGTTTATTTCAGGGGTCTCCATACCGAAGATCCAACCAAAGTACATCATTGTTTCTTTAATGGAAAATTCACCATACAGTGCAATTTCCTAAAAACAAATAAATATTTTAGTATATTAAAATATAAATATATCTTACAATGATAATAGTTAAGATTTTATAAACAACCACTTCAGGAAAAGGATATCTTCGAGAAATACAATCAGGAGATAAAGAAATTTAATGTTCAAAGTGATCTTCAACTCCTTCAAGAAGACAAAAGTGATTGGATATATGTTGGATTTTTTTTTTTTTTTTTTTTCTTCGTACGTTTAATTAGGAAAATCTCAACTTTCCGACATTTTGTAATTTCTTTATTATTTTACTTTTGTCTACTTTTACTGTTATTAGCTTATTAATCTCTTGTCATAAGAATAACGACAGTGAACGAAAAAATGACAATTGTCTGGTACTATAAGAAAATTAAAAAGTAATTAGTTAACTTAACATAATAATCCAACCATAAAATTAAAATAAATTAAGTACGAGTAAACATATAATTTGCACATAAATATATATGAGTGTGTTCACATATTTGTTCTGATTAACAATATTGTTAATAAATAAGTAACAGGAATATAACAGTCAATGAAGATATCAGTTTTTAAATACAAAATTTTGTTCTTACACGTATTCGGAAGGTTGATTGCATAGGAGGTAGAAGAATAAATGTTGTTTAAATGTGGCTAAGGAAGAGGATATTTGTATGGAGGCAGGTAATAAATTTCAGAAAAAGGTAGTGCGCATGACACAGGTCAATTTCATAAATATTGCAATGAAATTTGTTACTTTTATAAAAATTATGTACTTAGATTGATACATGTATTATGAATAATGCATAAAGCATGTAAAAAATAAATAAACTATAATAAGCGAAGATAAAAAAAAAAAAATAAAAATAGCTTACAAAACAGAATAATTTGACTATGAAAAAATAATAAGTAATTTCATTTATGTGTTGAAAGATAAATAAAAGTAGCTACTCTTCATAATATATATATTTTTAAATGCAGTTATTCATACTGAATAATTTTTCATCAATAAAAGAAGAACCATTTAAAATGAATTTTTTATTTTGGAATTTATAACAAAGAAAATTTGAATTTGAAGTATTAACTTCTCTAATGTATACTGGAGCCAACGTTAATAATATTGGGAAATATTTTCTTGTTCTTGCATCAGAACAGCCCTTAATTCTGGAAAATGTTAGAAGAAGTTTGGGTGCCACATTTATTGGATCGAGAACTTATTTTATATATGATCGATATGATATGATTTAGTACGTTTTATATTCATGATGGATTAAAATGGTGTTTATTAGGAAGGAGTTATCAAAATCAAATCTAAATACTGGCCATAATTCACACACTTAATAAGATAGTTTTTATAAAAATATTTAGCTAGGCATAAAGCTAATCCAAGGATTTAATAGTACTTCAATTATATTAACAAGTTAGAAAGTCTGATTATATTTTTTATGTTAATTATATTTTCAGTTTTTAAATCGTTTGAAAAAACAGATTTGAAAGTCACTGGCAACATATCAAACATTATGGAAAACATCTTCAAAAAAAATTTAATACAATGCATTGCTGTTTTGAGAACTTGATCAATTGAACCTATTTAAAAACAATTATGCATGTAAGAAAGATTTTGTAATGAATTGTGGATATATTTTCTTGTTCTTCAATCAGACCAATCCTCGAAGAAGTTTTAATAAATCTGGGCACCACTTTTATTGTATTTACAACTCATTTGATATATGATCGATATAATTTAGAATATTTCATAATCATGATGGATTGAAATGGTTTTTATTAGGAATGAGCAATCGATATTTAGGTCAATAGCTTATTTCTAACTATAATCACTTAATTAGCTCAATTATATTTATGAAAATATTAAGGGTCCCATATAACTAATCCACAGATGTTACGGGAATAGATCTTCAATTATATCAACCTTTTAGAAAGCCTCATTATATTGTCAGATTTTAAACGGTTTGAAAAAACATATATGGAAGTCATTGGCAAAATATCAAACGTTATGAAAAACATCTTAAAAAAGTTTTGAATACAATGTATAACTGTTTTGTTGATTAAGTCGACACATTTAAAAATAATTATGCACGTAACAAAGATTAAAATAAATGGTCATGACTGATAATAAGGCAACTTTCAGGGATAATGCTCCGTGCTTGGCATTGAGATCCTAAGTGACTGTCATTAGAAGAACAATAAACTATAATTGATGAAGATACGAGAAACCTTCCAGCAATAACATCGGCATGTGGATTTTTTTTCGTTTGTAATGTATTTATCACATCACATGGCTAAAACAGACACAATCTATTTGACCTTTGAACAGAGAAGAGGAAGAGATTCATTTATTATTATTTTAACAAGTCATTAAAGCAGCGGATAATTGCAAGAATAGCTAATTAACTATGTAATCAGAAATTATCATATATATTTCACACCCAGTTCTTCTTATTTTTATGTTGTTAATTCTTGATATCCTGTATAAATATATGAATTAAAAAGAAATCTTACTCTAGAAAAAGTGATGCTTTGATTATTAATGATTGTTGTTATCACTGATATTGCTAATTATATTTGTGATTGGAATATGAGGGGTATGTTTGAAATACATAATGTATTAAAGCCAACTCTCTTGTCATAGAGTTAAAACTCTACTAAAGCAATGTAAATAAATAAATAAATTATTTTAACAAGTCAGTGGATTGGATTTAGCATAACTACATAATTAGTAATGATAATTGATTATCTTAGGATAAGCTACAGAGTGATAATATCCATATTGTTATCGTTTGTTTTTTATATATAATTGTAAACATGATATATTAAAGAATTTTTTTTTTTTTTCATTTTTGGTTGTATCAGCTGTAGACAGGCATATTATCATTTGAAGAAAGTCCATGGTCACAACTATTATTATTTTTTTTTTTGCATTTCTAAGTTAATATTTTTGTGTTGATAAGTTTTATATATTAATAATATTTTATATATTTTACCGACAGGTGTATAGGAGATGGATAGTAAGTCACCTAAATTACAATTTCCATGATGATTATTTTAGGCTAATCAGAAGAGAACATGGTAGTAATTTTTTGCATTAGGGATGGAAATAAACGCTTAAAATTGCATCTCTTCAGGACCCAGTCTGTTATGACAATTAGGCCAAAACGAACAAATCGCTGAGTACATTCTGCAAAGCTGCTATGGAGGACAACATACAGATATGGCCCCAACCAACAGACCTTTAAACCAAGCTGCTCTCAAGCCTGGGAGCCCTAAGGAGGACCAATAATTTTATTTTTTTACTTCCTGACTTACCCACCTAGAGGACAGAACAAAGAAGAAGTAAAACTAGACCCAATGTTGAAATAAAATGCTGAGCTTGATATAAAAAAAGGGAAATTTTTCCTATGAATTATTTACCACTTTTACCCATCCAAACTATTTACCTTTCTTCAATAAAGAAATATTAAATGGAAAATTAATCGATTTTAAAAAGTATTTGTGTTAAAAATGCACTATCTGTTAAATAAAACAAGAATGACACATTAAATTGTATCGTCAATAAGTTTATATTGTTATATTTTAAAAATTAAAATCACATGACAGCAAAACTTTTTTATTTATATAACAATTTTCCAAAATAAATTATCAATTTTCTTTTTAATATGAATTCTTTCATAACTGTTATCCTTTTTTAAACATATTTATTGAGAGATATTACAATCTGTCACAATTAAGGACATTTATAATAGTGTTCAGAGAGCACATTCACACTCCATCAACAATAAATAATAACAGAAAAATAATAATATTAAAAGTAAATGTATATAAACTAAACTAAACTAATCAAAAGAACTACCCAAATACACACATGCGTCTATACAATATCTAAAAAAAAATCTCCGATAACTCAAGATCTCCGAGTCAAGCGTTTCTACCACTATAATTTTAAAATAAAAATTATGCAGTAACACTTATAGTGATTATACAATATCAGACCCTGAATATATATATATATATATTAAAAATATATTTTTAAGATTCAGAGTGAAGAGGAAGAGTGGAGTGGTTACGTAACACAGGTGTGTGAGAAGTCCTACATTGCTAATTGAAAGGTAAAACCACAGCCAGAACTGGGACACATATCATCCAGTGAAAGTAACTCTTTTATTTAGAAAAAAAAAAACATATAAATAATATGAGCCTTTCAGTTGACAGAATGACTAACTCCGATTTTAACATTTTGGATTATTAATTTTAGTGATATTTCTGGTGGGAAAAATTATACCTTTATTCTGAGTTCTATATTTCAACACTACAATCACCTCCTTTGGAATCAACTTACTCACTTTCTGTACAGAAATAATTTTTCAACTAGAAATAAAATTACTTCACTCAAAAATGTTGAAATTGGAGTTAGTGATTCTGTCAACTGTAAGGCTCATAATAATTTTTAAAAAATTGGAATATTAAAAAAATTATTTGTAATTACTTCTGTTTATGTAATGAGATTATGGTTTTTAAAGTGCCTTTTTAAATAATTGCCTAAAAACACATTTGATTTATAAAATTAAAAATAAAGTTTTTTCAATAATTTTTATGTAAGGTGGTTATGAAAGTGTGTTTTTCTCCTAGATTTCTGTCATAGAAATTGATGTGTATTTATAAGTGACAAACTTAATTTTTCTAGCCATAATATTTACGTTTTCTTGAAAATATTTAAAACAATCAGTATCTTTCTTCATTTTAAACATAAATTTTAGTAATAATGATTTAAGTTTGTCACTGATAAATATATATCGATTCCTATGACGGAGATCTGGGGTAAAAATACAGTTTCATAACCACCTTACATGAAAATATTTTTATATTTATAAATAAAATGTGTTTTTAGACAATATGTTAATAAAAATACATCCCATATCACATAAAAACAATAAACAAAAGCTTTGAAACAGTTAATTGTAATAATTTTTGCAGAAAACAGGGGTACTTTAATGTGATTGGATAGAAAATCACATAATTTCTTTACTCAACTTGAGGCGAATCTCAACATTTTTCCTAATAAACCTCTTTTTTTTTTATTATTTCTTAATGACATTTACAACTGTATTACGTAAATACATCTAGTAAATTTGGACATAATAGATATAATGACATGAATACACTTGCTGAGTAACTACCCAATGGTAGCACTCTAATGATATGACTACATTAGGAAATCACTACATTAGGTGATCTTCTTTTCAGACGCCTCGGAGAGTTATCAGAAATTGAAGAGGAAGCAAGGTTAGAAATGAGAGGGTTGGGATGATTCTGAAGTTTATTATGGAAGGATAGGTATCTGGATAGGGCCAGATTTGAAACATAAGAAACATTAAGATCTTTATGGATAATTTTATTAGTGACAAAGTAAGGAGCATTGAGGATTTTACGAAGGATTTTGGATTGTAAGGATTGGATACTAGAGGAATTCGATGGTTTAGTGGAGCCCCATTGCTCAACTCCATAAGTCCAAATAGTTCTTATTTTAGCCATGTATATGAGTCTTTTGTAATTAATAGGAAGTTTAGTCTAGTAAGTGTTGAAGTAATCGGAAACGTCGAGCGGTTTCTTGTCGTTTCAGTCTAGTATGAGGATTCCAAGTTAGTCGCTTGTCCAGGTGGAGCTGATAAACCTCAACTCGATTAATACGTATTTAAAGCTTATTAAATGTGGAAGTGAAGAGTTTTTTTCTAAAAGTGGGGTAAATGCAGTACAGTTGAATAATGATACAAAAAAAATCACAAATAATTTATGACTTTTTTTGTTTGTCCGTCCAATAGTCCTCTTTAAATAGTTTCAGCAATGACAAACTCTATTTTCTTTTAAAATAAATTTTGTCTAGTCTACTACGGAGTAATGTTTAATTACATAAATTTAATATTTTTCAAGTTATCACTTTCTATCCAACAAAAAATGTGACTCACTTAAAAAAAAACAAAACATAAATCTTGAATTTTCTATCCTATATATTATTTCTAAAAGGTTTTGTTTTTGTCGGTACGCCATAACTTCATCAAATCCAATGACTGACCACTCATTTCGAAGATATTCTTCTCTTTCACATGCGAAAAATCCTATCTCCCCGAAATTTCTGGGAAAAAAGTTATGATGGAAAAGAAATTTTATTTGCGAATAACTGAAAAAGCATACATGTTTTCTTGATTGTACCCATGATAAATAGAATGATTACTAAATTACCTACAAAAAAAAAAAAGGGAAAAATTGGAAAAATATTAACAAAGATACAATCCATTAGTTTTGATATACTTAATAATGCCTTCCGATTTAAAGAAATTGCATTTATGAATAGAATAGTCTACTACATTTTTTTCCCTGGCAGGTATTTTAACTTTATTATTTCTTAAAGACATTTGGTTGTTCTTACATTTTATTTTTTTTAATAATTTAGAATATTCCATGATCGGGATATTATTTTGTCTATATTACAGTCAGCGTTTAAAAATATTATCTCCTATTATTTCTATTATGTTTAATGGAATAGTGCAATCGACCAAGAAAAAAAATATTAATTCCTTCCTTGCATGATACATAGAAACTACTTATTTCCATTTTGTTTTGCTATTTCTTCACTAAACAAAATTGTCTGCTAATTTTTCGCACGGGCCAACTAATTTAATAATCTTATATTTTCACTGCTGGAAATCAGGCAATTGTTTATATGAACTGTTTTGTAGATTTTGACATTTACTATCAATCTTTTAAATATTTTTCTCGACTTACGGGACATCCTGTATACTTCGGATCGTTAATGTATTTTCATTCTAAATTGAATGTGTCCTAATAATTAAATCCACACAGAGAAAATTTCACTAAAAACCAAAAATAAAGTTTTCATCTGACTGAAGTAAAAAATTTCTAATTTTTTTTATAATACAAGTGAGGGTAGGTGAAAATGGTAGATGCATTTCATCTCTTCATATGACCAGGAAAAGAAACATATCTCGAGATCTGATAGTCAATACTAATAATAATAAATAGATAAACATGATATATTTTACCTGTGGCATGTAGCCCACTCTTTTCCCTGGAACTCCACTGCCCTTCGTCCCAGGTTTCCCTCCAAGTACAAAGATCTCTCCGGTATTGAGTCTTCTCCTCCCAACGATACAGCTGAGGAGAGTCGTCTTACCACAACCGCTGGCACCCAGGAGGCCATATCTGAGGAAGAAGGAGTTCTTTAGATAAATATGTAATAAGACGATTGCATATAACTCATGGAAGTAATAACAAAAAAAAAAGAGAAAAAAGAATATTATAATAAAAGACAGATAAGTCTGTACAATAATATAAATTTATAAATAAATATAACAAATATAAAAGCAATTGTACTATAGAATACTTTTACTGTTAAAAGGCATATTGGCCAATAATATGTTCCAACCATTTTATTCATCAGTTGACTAATGCTAGGAACTCATTTTAGGCCTGAGTGGACCTAATAAGCACCATGATCATGAAGGAGAATCAGAATTCGAAAAACGAATAAAAATGTTTTAATCCATCCGCCGTCCGAGCATTTTCTCCGAAACTACTGGACCGATTTTTTTCAAATTTGGATTTAAAATCGCCCGAGGATGTTCTCCTTCATCGACATTTCTCCTTCAAGCGCGGTGTTACGTACACGCATTGGCCCCGCTCGGCTAACCCGCCCCCTGAATATTTATATACGTGCATTGTATTATATACATAGGGAGCGGGGTAGCTCAGTGGTAAGACACTAAGCTCCTGGTGCTCAAGGTCTCAGGTTCGAATCCCCGCTCATGGCAGAAAAAAAATATTTATTCTGTTTCATTGGCCGTGGGGCGACCCTGGGATAGTGGGACCCTCCTGGGGCACAGTCAGTCTCTATAAAGTGGGTAAACTTAATTAAATAATTGATTAAGGGGAAAAACCTGGCGGTTGAACGTGATCCTGGCCCGATCCCCTCCCTGCACAACCGTAGGCCATGAAACAGTACTTTCCCTAAATAGTACTGAACCGAACCCAAGACCCTTCATGGGATGGAATGAGACACTTGGAGTATTGGACACTTTAGAGCCCCATCTTGTGTTTTTAGCGTTAAAATCTCCTCCTTCAATGAATTATTTTCCCATTGTTGAGAAAATAGTATTTAATTCATTCGTGGATATAACTTTATTGGGAGCTATATAGACTGAGGCGATCGTGAGTTGGAATTTTGAGGAGTTCAGGGAAATATTGGTGTGTTGTAGGGAATTCGTAGAAACAGAAGAAAGAATATGGTGATTTAAGGATTTGTTCAAAATACAGTACCTCCATGTGCTGCCTGGTTGCCTGGTCTGGATGGTCCGTTCTGTAAGTTTCGCAATCTTGTAGCTTGAATGTTTGTTTGTATGTTAAATGAGTGTCAGTAATCAGGGCTATGCTTATGTCATGTTCTTTTAAACAAATTTCCAGTTCATTTTTTCGTTGGAGCAGACCATTGGAGTTCTATAGGAGTATTCTAAGAGAAGGTGGTTTGGAATTAGTCATTGGAAGGATTTGAAATGAAAGTAGAAACTAGTTTAGTTAGAAGTTCTAGAATAGGGGATAAAAGGGATTTAAGTTCAGTTAGAAGAGGTTCAATAGAAGAAAATATTAGTTCGATAAAATTATTCTTTAGGAGGAATCCCTTTAAAATTAACTTTCATATGAAGTATAAGCTAAGCTAATGAACACGTTAGCTGCGATTACGGTCCCTGGGTTCCTATATTCGCCTCGTTTTTGGCCGAAGTTGTTTCGAATTTTCCATATATCTTACGAAGTATCCAAAATGGTAACTTTTCAAAATATTTGAATGGGAGTCGGATAGACGCCGGAGACCATAACCGTAGCTAACGCGTAATTTCTATATTTTAAATAAATGATATGATTTTATAACTAGAGGTAAGTAACATTTTATAACTATCTTTGAATATATAAGGTATAAGATCATTCAGAAATTAGGTAGGAACACACATAATGGTGTCGAACAGCTACAGTTAGTAGAAAATAAATTATTATATATATTATATAACAAATTATTATACTATTTACGTATTCATTAATCTATATTTGTTTCTGTGAGTGATTATAAATGAATGCTTAATCAAAATATGTACTCCCTTTAAATTATAACAATTGTATTTCAGCTACGAAATGTTAGCTCGTGCCAAGAAAAAAAATATATATACAATTTATCGCTATGTAACTACTTCGAAGTTTTTGTGAAAATTAAATGCCCAGTTATTTAATGGAGCCGTAGATACGACTATAACACGTTCGCCATCTTCCATCCGACAACTTTTTATAGATAAGTGTAGAAATCTTAAGAGACCAACAATAACGTTTCACAAAGAGATTCAATATTATTTCCTCGTTGGAGACTGTATTAGACACTCCATTGAGCAGGTTTGACTCAGTTCTCACGCCGTGAAAATTATTAAGCGGATTTGCGCCGCCGCATTCAATGAACCACAGAATCGTGCTGGGGTCCTTTCCTAATCAGGTTCGATTGTCGCGCCCTGGATCTTACGATCAGCTGTTAAACATAACCAAAGAGACATTGCGAATTTCTTTAAACTTTAATTTTGGTTCGCGAATCTCCATTTCAAAGCATCTGGTGTTTACATTAATTTTTCCAAAATCGCCTTTAGTATGAAGCAGTAAAGTTTCTAGCTAAAAAACTAATTCGATTATTGGCGCGGTTAATATGGAACATTGACGGAACTGAAAACATTAAACTGTTGAAACCAATGGTAACGGAAAAACAACAAGTAAAAGACTGATACAATTTACTCAATACTTCTTAATATTTTCATTGTTTTCAACCCTTCTACGTTTTAGACATCAAGAAACAATTTTAGCCTTACTGTCTTTAATCAAATAAATCATTTTTTTTTCTATCTTATCTCAACTTTCCAGCTGTATGGATTTCCACGGGCCATGGAAAAGAGTGCGGGAGATTAATGACAGAGATAAAAGCCTCAATGAAACAAGCATCCGTTGATGTAATTTATTTAAAATATTCAAAAATTGTGGGGGGGAGGGCTACTTAGATGGTCCCATAACAATTTTATCAAATTCCAACCACCACTTTCGGTTACGCAGGCGGAAATCTATTTCCATTGATAGACCATGAGCCAAGAGTAAATTTTGTGATTTGTTTAAAGAGACCTTTACTGATTCATAATTATAATCTCTATCATAAGAATTCAATTTGAACTAATAATTTAACTCAAAGTGAGGGCGTTTTAAATTGGAACTGCACATTTCACAAATGTCAGAAAACGTTGGATTAACTCAACTAGTTGAATCAAGCACTGAAAGTCAGTATTTTTTATCGAGTTTAGGTACGACTTAGCGAACACTTGACGCTTTTGAAAGGTAATCAAACACATTAAAAAAAAAAAAAATATATATATATATATATATATATATATATATATATATATATATATATATATATATATATATATATATATATACATATATATCAAAATCAAAGCACTGTTAGTAAAGATATCGCGATTTTTAAATATTTTTGGTTTATTTTTTAATTAATATTTTGAATAATTAACCATTGTGATCGAAAAAAAATTCCACTCCAACAAAAAATTAACGGCATCTCAAATTTTGAAGTTTTACATTTCAGGATACGTAGAATTCGAAAAACGAATAAAAAAAATTTAATCCTTCCGCCGTCCGAGCATTTTCTCCGAAACTACTGGACCAATTTTTTTTCTAATTTGTATATAAAATCAGAGGTCACCCGAGGATGATCCTCCTTCATCGACATCATTATCCGCCTTTTACTTTCAAAATGGCGGCCGAAAAACCTGCGTGACTATAGACTGTAGCGCCTAAACGAATGTAGCGATTTCAATGAAACTTCGCTAAAGTCATTTTCTCTACGCCCTTTAAATTTATCTATATAACATACTTCAACGAAAAGAAGCTGGAAAAAAAGTTACGAGGGATGGTAAAATTATATTCCAAATAACTGATATATATATATATATATATATATATATATATATATATATATAATGAAAAGCCTGTTGCAATTTAAAATTAGAAATAGTTATAAGATGAAAAAAAAAACTGGATATAGATATGTAAAGTAAATTGAGTAAAATAACAATACAGAGGTTATAATGAAGTTCCAGATCCATCGACCGCAATCCCTCTGGAACCGCTGAGCCAGCAGTGATTGAACCGATGAATAAAGAGAGGAGCTAAAGACAGTTCCAAAACATATCAATGTTGGTCATTGATGAGTTTAGGAATGGTCTGATGATGAGCTCAATGCTTAATTTAGGAATTAACCTACAAAAGGCAACGAGGTTGGATTTTCCAAATTGTAACCTAACTTTCAATTTATTTATTTTTTTAAGTTATTTTCTGGTTTATATTACTACACCGAATATCTTTTTCGGAAAACTATTTTACCAGGAACTTATGAAAGGTACCAGAATTTATAAGCACAAAATGATTGACACAGAGCTTAATTCTTTTTCAGTCTATTTTGTAACAAGTTCTTATCCAATTTTCCATCAAAACTTCGCCTGACTCTTATGGTTTTTTAAATGGTTTGTTATGAACCACGATTGAATAATAGAAGATTTAAGTTGTGTAATAAATATAGACTGCGACGAAAGTTGACTGGTTTTTTATAATGAAAAAAAAACCTCCATAAAAATATGCAATATCCAGCAGGAAAATGCATTTATTTTTAAAGCAACATTTAAATGTTACAGTAAAATTATGACAAACAAAATTATGATACGTACGAATAAAAATGTAAAGATAAATTTAAATTATATTTAACATTATCTATCAATAGATGGAGATATCTTTAACAGATAAAATTATATGGATGACAAATTATCAGATCATTTGTTGTTGTTTATTAGGCTTGCATAAATGTCTTTTTCAAATTTTTCTTTCAATATATAGACATTTTATTTTTTATGGGTGGTAAATATTCGGGACGCAGTCTTTTTTAAATACTTTTTTAATTTTTTATTTGTGAGTTTAACGTTGGCACAATTTTTTTTTTTAAAAAAGGACTGCGTCCTGAATATTTATCACCCATTATATGTACAACAATCGACTAGCTTCCTTCAATATTTTATTTTTTAGCTAAAAACAGTAACAAACTATAGATGCCTCCTAAATAA